GGGTTAGGGTTAGGGTTAGGGTTAGGGTTAGGGTTAGGGTTAGGGTTAGGGTTAGGGTTAGGGGGGGGCATCATGGTGGGGGTTGGGGGGGGGGGCGGGGGGTGTACAGGCTCAGTCACAGGGTGGCTGGGCAAGGAGGTGCTTCTGCCTGGAATGATTGGAAGTTGGCCCAATGGCTGGTCTGTCCCTTCCCAGGAGGGGAAGTGCTGCTGCCACACAGATAAGGCCACCAGCATGAAAGCAAGGCTGGAAGGGGGCTGGAAGAGAGGCGGGACCCAGGGAGTCCTGTTGCGCTGGAAACCAGTGTCAAACGCTTCCAGGGTGAAGAGTGATGACAGGCACCTCCTGAGACTCAGAGGGTGAGACAGTGGCAGGGTGAAAAATCTCCTCAGCACCTAGTCTCCCAAAAAGGGGTGAGGGGCCTAGCCCACTTGTAGCCTGTACTTGTGGGTGTACAGCCAGGTGGGGAGCCTCTGGTGAGGTCGCAGCCTGGGGAACTGCCTCCTTGGAACTAGGGCAGAACAGGTAGAAGGGCAGCTTCTGGGAAGTCTCAGGTGAGTGGCAGACGCGCTCTGCAGGGCGGGCGCCACCTGGGCGGCCCCTCTGATCTTCAGGCAAAGGGGCTTCGCTTCACTGATCCCGCCAGCATGCGCAGGGACCCCCCAACCAACCAGATGGGCAGGAACTGGGCCCATAGGGTCTGGAATGCAGAGTAGGGCCCAGGAGGGGATGGAAGGGGGCTTCGGGCGCAGGGCCCAGCCCCCGGGCCTCTGGATATCCAGCCCCGAGCCGTGAGCTCAGCTGATGTAGACACGGTGGAAATCGTGGGCACCAAAGGCTGTGTTGCACTTGGGGCACTTCCGCTGGCGCGCCTCGTAGCGGCCACGCACGCACTCGAAGCAGAACACATGGAAGCACTTGGTAAGCACGGCATCCTTCTTGCGGGTGTTGCAGCAGGGACAGGTCAACCGCGCCTGGGCAGGGCGAAGGCATTAGGGAGGGGCAGCCGAGGAGCTCCAAGCGGAGCCCAGCACAAGGCAGCCTGGAGCCACCCTCCCTCCACCCCTGGGGGGTGAGCACTCTACAAACGCTTAAAAACTAGAAAGCAGGTGGGCCAAGGACCCTGGGCCTACCGTGGGATCTTCCATCCCTCAGTCGGGCAGGAGAATGCTGCTACACCTCTCTCCTCCTGAAATACTCTCAGGTCTTGTCTCCCAAATCCAGAAAGGGAGCCCTACACCCAGCGCGCCCCATCACACCTCCGCCGCCAGCCACCTGAGCAGCGTCCCCAGTCCTGCTCTGCTCTCACTCAGGACCCTGCCATTTAGCAACCAGCCTCCAAAGCCGCCGCCTCATTGGAAACCCCACCCCCACCAGTCTGCTTGGCAGCCTCTAGCTGTCGGCCCCTTCTAGACCAAACCAAACCACTTCCCAGGGGCGTCCGTCCCAACAGTCTTCCCTCCACCCCCTTCCCCTCCCATCTGAGAAGGCAGGCCAGCTGAGCTCCACCTCAAACCATTCGCGCCAAGACCCTTTGCTTTCTTGGCAGCTCGGATTCAGCTTAATGTCCCCCCCCCACCCCTGCCCACCTTAAGCTCAACCTCAACCCGCCATTCCCTCAATTATCACTCTCCTTCCCAGCACAGAGCCCACCACTTAAATTGTGGGGTTCCCACAGCTCCCATCCCCTCAGCACGTCCAAGCATAGCTCACCAACACCTGCTCTTGCCCACCTCCCTGACCCCACGCCAGGGCCCTGTCATCATGCAGATGCTCCCACCAGGAACCCACCAGAATACTTCCCCCTCACTCCCCCCTCCTTCCAAGTCTAGGCAGCATGACCTCCTAAAATACCGCCTTTTTGTTCCCGATGCTTCAGGCTGGTTCGCTGTCATTTTTGCTTCAGCAACTAGAACGTCTCCAACTTACGTCACCAGCACACCTGACCATGCCATCGCCCAGACAGGTGGGAGCCCTGGCTCCCCCACTCCCGAGGGAACAGGGCAGGCTGCTTGGCCTGGCCTAGGCAGCACAGCCCTCTGGACAGGACACTGCCTGGCCGCTCCGCAAATCCCCCTTTCTGCCTCAATTATGTCGGCTCCTCCTCTACCAGGGGTTCTCCACTTTGCCTGGGAGCCCCTTGCCCCGTGCCTGCCTCTCGAACCTTCGGCCTCTGGTGCCTTTCCTGAGGGAAGCCAGCTACCCCCAGGGCAGGTCTAAGGGCTTCCCCTAGGCTCCCAGTGCCCTTCTCAGACCTCTGCATCCCATGGCCGGAAGAATCACGTGGCTGCCTCCTCCATGTAAACACACAGCTACCTAAAGTGGCTCTGGCACTAGGTGTATGAGCAACGCCGAGGTAGCTGGCTTCACTCCACACCCAAGGTCCTGCCCCACACCTTTCTACGACCTTCTGTTGTCACGGGGTCAATTCCAACTCACAACGACCCTGTCAGACAGACTAGAATGGGCTCACTGGGGTGCTTCGGTTGTTTTCATGAGGAAGGGGCCCTGGGGGCAGAGTGGTTACGCACTGGGCCCCTAAACACACAGTGAGCAGTTCAAAACCACCAGCCAGCTCTGCAGAGGGAAGACGAGGCATTCTTCCACCAGGAGTTCCAGTCTAAGAAACCCACAGGGGCAGTTCTACCCTGCCCGTAGAGGGTCGCCTGAGTCAGAAGGGACTTGGCAGCAGTGAGTTTGGTTTTTGGTTTCATCTGCACGGGAGCTGGTCTTTTCTCCCTCAGACCAGGGGTGGGTTTGAACTACAGACTTTTAGGTCAGCAGTTGACTGTTGAAGTAGGATGCCATCAAGGTTCCTTTGCCTGATACCCCTGGTTCTCAGCCGACCCAGGGCAGTTCTCACCAACCCCTCACCCCCCACTCCCAGGCTGGTAACCCCACCTTGTACTCCTTGATCTCCTCCTGGAGTATTTCGTCGGCATCTGCATAAACCTCCACCTTCCTCTGCTTCTCCAACTTGCGCCGCAGCCGGGAGATGTCCTCCTGGGGTGAGAGAGATTAAACGAATCGTGAGGGCCCGCAGTCTGAAGGGTCTGTCCAGCCAGGGCTCCAGGGGCCCACCAGCCCCCACTCACCTGAGCCCTCTTGAGATTGAAGCTCTCTTTCTCGCGAGCAGCGCGGCTCTCTGCCAGACAGGGTTGGATCTCTCGGAGCCGGGTCTGCACGTGCTCCAGCTGCACCTTCAGGTCCTCCGCCAGCTGGGCTGCTTCCACAGCCTGACGGGGGCACAGGGACGAGGGGAACAAGGTCGGCCTGAGCTCAAGGCCTCAGGCCAGGATCCACCTAGATTTGTGTATAACCTTCCAGAGGTTCTGCACCAGAGCTGGCTTTCCCTCCGGAGACGCCTCAGCCCTGGACTCCTCACCTGATGCCCTCTGCTGTTGGGAGTCTCCACAGAGCTCTTCCCTTTGTTGCCCTCTGTTATCCCCAAGGAAACCTTCCCCCTGCAACCACCTCAGGTCTCAGCTCCTCTGTCCCTTCCAGAAACATCTCACGCTCCATCAAAACTGCTCAGAGTTCACCGCTCATCTGAGGCCTGGCTGACTCGATGGCGGTCCCTCAAAGGCAGGGTCGCGCATGCTCCCGATGGCTCCCCAGCACTCAGCATCGGGCCGGCACACAGGACAAGTCAGGACATCCCACTGACACGAACGGACTGACAGCCCAAAGAAAGCCGGCAGGAGAGGAACGATGAAAGTCTGTGTTCATCTTCAGCCCCTGCCGTGAGATGCTGCTGCTCAATGTGTGGAGCTGGTTGCAACGGAGAGCAACCCTACTGTGCCCAGAGGATGATGCACGTGCTGTTCGGCCCTGCACCACCCTCACCTGACTGCGCCGGAGCCCGGTGTGGAGCCCGGTGTCCGTCCCTCGCACTGGCGCGCGCTCATGTGCTGCTCCTGAAACGGCTACACGTGGAGCTCTCCTCTCGGGCACCGCCGCGCCTGCGAGGAAGTCGCTCCGCCTTCTTTTGAGGCTTCTGCCCCCGTTTATTCTAAGCGTTCCTTTCACCCTTTCGGTTTAAAATAGGCTGGGCGTGTCCTTCCTGTAGGGTTTTCTCGCTGGGCGTGTCGTTCCTGTAGGGTTTTCTAAGTGTCCAGGTGCCTGCATGTTCCCCCTTGAAACACGGTATGTTGTCTTCCGGGGCTGCCCTGTGAAGTTCTCTCTTCAGCTCTTTGACTTCATAGTTTCTTCCACTGGCTCTATCAACTCTACAATTAAGAACAAGCTTCAGTCTCTTCTGACATCCACTTTGATCATTTATTCCTTCTCGAATCACCTTTTTAAACTTTTTATCACCATACGATTCAATAGAGCTCAGTCATATCAAGAAGAGTTGTCCAATCACCACCACAGTCGATTTTCAGTTTTTCTTCCATGTGCTGTTATTTGTGGTGTTGTTTTTTTAATTGTGGCAAAAATACACACAACAAAACATTCTCCTGTTCCACAACTTCTGCCTGTATCATCCAGTGCCGTTGACGACACTCTCCACGTCGCCCTTAGCTTTCCTCAGTAGCGTTCAACGCATCAGATCTGTTCTCGAGATGGTCTTGAAATTCAGGTGGGATATCCTCCAAGCCACACTTGGGGCCGTGTGAATTTTCTTCAGCTTCAACCTGAACTTATCTGAGCAACTGCTGGTCTGTTGCAGTCAGCCCTGGGGCTCATTTAGCTGCTCTTTCGTTTCCCATGGCTTCTTCCCACAGGTGCCATCTGTTTCTCTGTCTTCCATCCAGTGAAGTCCATGTGGACAGTGGCTGTTTGTGTTGTTGACAGGCTATTTGTGACGAAGTCACATGTCTTGCAGCATAGCGTCCTTTCAGTCACCGAGGTCGGATTTTCCAACGACAGTCATTCCTCCGTTTCCAACTTTCACATTCCACTTGCCAGTCATGATCGATCATGTTGCGTGTTTGATCAACTTCAGACTGAAGATGTTGGTGGAATTCTTCCATTTCTTCATCGCTAGTTGTGGTGCACACATTTGAGTGATAGTTGTACTGACTGGATTTCTTTGTGCGTCGATGGGTCTTATCCCGTCACAGTGCGCTTCGAGAGACTTGGGTCACGCGATGCCGTTCCTCCCTCTTGGATCTGTCGTGTTCAGCACAGTAGAAAACAATCGGCCAACACCATCCACTTTAGCTCACCCAAACCTATGATTCTGATGCAGTCCATTTCAGTTTTGATTTCCAATTTTCCAAGTTCCCATTATTAATAGCCACTTGTAGCTGTTATCACTTTCAGTCATGGCCCGCCAGCAAATGGAGGTCCCCAGTGCTTATCCCCACACTGGCATTACTTTGAGCAGGCGGCTCTTCCTCAGTGGCACTCGGAGTGCCCTAACCTGACAATGACGGGCTCCACGGCTGGCACCATCTCTGACGCGGCTCTGCTAGTCAAGAGCGCCAGTTCCTCCAGAGAAGTGGACAACCGATTCCTTCTTTGTGCTCTGCTGCTCAACCTGGAGCTCTGCTAAGACCTGTTCACTTTGGTAACTGAAATACCAGCGCCAATACAGTACACCAAACCAAAGGACAAGTGGTGGCTGCCACCAAGCCAGGCGCCGCTTAGGGGTCATCTCTCCAACACCATGGTGTGCCGAGAGCCATTCCCTCCATTTTACAGCTACCGACGTGGCAGTGGTCGAGAGATGGGCTCGAACCAGAGAGTGAGGGACCCAACCTCCTGTTCCCCCGTGCCTCTTTCTCCAGCAGGGGTTAATGAGAAACCACCTCTGTGGGGCTGCTGCGCGGGTGCAGGCTCACCTTCCTCTTGTTGAGTTCCAGGGCCTGGCTCCGCAGCGCCAGCTCCTTCTCTACCCCGCCCAGGCTGCCCTGCAAGGCCCGCTCCTTCTCCTCTAGCTTCTGCACGGTCAGCAGCTGGGCATCCACCTGAGGGCAGGGGTGCGGACTCAGTGTGGGGAAGCCCTCGCCTCCCTAGCTCTGCTCCACCAACCGAGGCAGCCTCACCTGGGACTTGAGACCAAGAACTTGCTCGCCCAGCTCATCCTTCTCCTCGCGCAGGAGCTTGTGAATCTGGTTGGCCTTGATGCGTTCAGACATCAGCTTGAAGTTGGCGTCGTCCTTTTCCCGCAGCTGCTGGAGCAGCCGACCGTTCTGCTCCTGCATGTCCTCAAAAGCCTGGCCTGTCACGTCCATCTCCGACAGCAGGGCCTCCTCCTCCTGCAAGTAGGCAGGGCCGTGGTGGAGACGGGATGGCCAACCCCCCGGGGGTCAGAAGCAAGGGCGCGGGGTTGGGGTGGGGGTGGGGGTACCTGCTTTGTGGCACCCAGCTTGCGCTGCAGGTGCTCGATCTGCTCCTCTGCCTGCCTGATGCGCCTCAGGGCGTCCTCATCAGCAATCTTCTTGCTCTCCCTCCGATCCCGCTCCTCCAGCTCCCGGATCCGGCCCCGCAGGTCGTCCACCTACAGTCACCAAGAGAATGCAGCGTGCTGGTCACAGCACCTTGCCGGCCTGGTCCAAACCAGTGCCCTACAGCCTCTCTGCAGGCCCCGGGCTCCACCGGCCCTCCCTCACCTCAGCCTTGGCCTTGCGTTCTGCAGCCATGAGCTGCACCTTGTCCCGCTGTTCCTTAGGCGCTGACTTGTACATGTCCAAGAGCAGCTTCATCTCCTTTTGGCTCTCCTGGGCCTTCCTAGGGGACACACCAGAGAGCAGCTTGGTGGGAAGAGCTGGAGACGGCTTGACAAGAGTGGGAAGGGCAAGAGACAAGAACAGGCCTCACTTGAGCTCGGCTCGGAGACCCTTGAGAAGCTCAGACTCTTTCCTCTTGGCCTCCTCCACCTTGCCCTTCTCCCTGTCAACCCTGGAGAGAGTGAAGGCTGCCGGAGGGGGCCCTAGGCCAGGCCCTTCCCGTTCTCGAAGCTCCCGCTTAGGCCTGCCCTCAGGCTCTCGGCCCCGGGAAGAGGGGCCCTGGGCCGCAGGGGTTAGGGCTTGGGCATCCTCTTCAGGGGAAAGCAGTTCCTCCTTCCGCACTGATGAGGCTGTTACACTGGCGCCAGGCACTGATGTCATCTCCTTCCTGGCCTCTGGGGCACCACAAGCTCCGGGCCCACCCTCTTCTTTCCCTGGGGTGGAGGCACTGAGGCCCGAGTCCTCTGAGTGGCCCAGGTTAGGGATGGAGTGGGCTGAGCCACTGGCCTGGGCCCGGAGCTGAGAAGAGACAGGATACCCGGATGAGGTGAGGGCCTGCTCGCTGGGGTCCAGGGGAGGCAGCTCCGCGCGCATGCGCGCACACACCTTGCCTATCTCCGCCTGCACCTCGCGCAGCTTCCGCTTGTAGCGCTGGGCGTCCCCCTTCAGCTGGTGGTTGTGGTTCTGCAGGCTGCTGATGAGATGTCGCATCTCCCGGTTGATGGGCCCTGGGAGGCGGGGCCAGGACGGAAGATGAGGAGCTGATTCCCTCAGCAGAGGCTCACCCCCAGCCAGAACCAGAGCCGGCCCCCACCCCATGCAGGAGCGGCAGAGGGAGGCATCAGCACAGTGAGTGCACCCAAACTCCGACAGCTCATTTCGCACCCAGTCTCCTTTGGGTATCAGTTCTCCCCCCACTAGAGGTTCAGAAGCCCTCCCCACACTCCCTTCCATGGCAAACTCTCTGATGGGGGATCCTGGAAATCTTTTCAGAGAATCTCATCCCCCCCCCCCCCAAGTTGCCTGTGGGCTAGAACCTCCGACCTTGCAGTTCCCAGTTCAACGCTTAAATTGACAGTGCCACGAGAGCTCTGTCGAGAAGGGAATGCTGGAGCACACCCACAAAGCACCCTCAAGTCGGTCAGCTTCCCCAGCGTTTAAGTGAGTTGCTGCAGTTACCTTCCTGCTGGAAACTGCCACACTCTCTCTTGCCCTCCCTGCTGGTCAGAGTCTGTCAGTGGTGTGCTGGGTGAAACACCCCTCACGTCACCACTCGCCTGACAACCCCCCCACCCAAAAGGCGCTTCAGAAGAGAAGCCTTGCAATTGGCTTCGCAAAGTCACAGCCTTGAAACCCCTCCAGGGCAGTGCTGCCCTGCACACGGGGTGGCCATGGGCCACCCAGTGGTGCTAACCAGGTGGTCAGCAGTTTGAAACCACCAGCCCTTCAGAGAAAGACGGGGCTCCTTCTACAGTCTCGGGTCGCTAGGACTGGGAAGGGAATGGCCTCGGTGGCCGGGGCTTTGGTCTTTCTCAACAGACCCGTCAGCTAAGTGTCTTCTTCAGTACTCTGCCGCAGGGACAGGGCTTCTGTGTGTTTTGCTCAAGGCCAGGGCAGAGCCGGCTCACAAGAGGGAGTGTGACATGCCTCTGGGACAGGAACTGGTCTTCCCAAGATGTGCGTGCTCGGGCTGACCGGAAGAGGAGTGAGGCGGGAAAGGGGCTCGGCCTCTTGCACTTGCTGGCGAGGCCGGGGGCCCAACACTCCCAAGTGACACCCCCAAACCCCCGTCCTCAGCACGCACCCGCCTGCTCATTGGCCGCCAGGTTCTGCTCAAACTCAATGCGCAGCATCTCGTACTCCTTGCGCACCTGGGCCAGCGTGTCCTCCAGCTGGATCACCTCGGTGCGCAACTTCTTCTGCAGCCCCAGCTCGTCGCTCTGCCAGGTGGAGCCCAAGGGACCTACGTGACCCTCCTGCCCTCCCCTGGACCCAGTCCTCGCGCTGGGCCCCGCCCGCTCGGGAAGACTGCAGCCCGCGCACCTCCAAGTGCTCGATGTGGCGGAGGTGGGAGTTCTTGGTTGCCAGCAGCAGCCCCCGCGCCTCGTCCAGCTGGGTCTTCACTTGCAGGGACTCGTTGTAGAGCAGGGAGAACTGGGCCTGCAGCAGGCGGTACTCGCCCGTCTCCCGCACCACCTCCTCAGGGAGGCTCCGCAGGGCCACCTGGGCCAGACGTGGCATCAGCACGCAGGATTTGGGGCGCCCAGGCCCTCCCAGGCCCCAACCCCAGCCCACCTTGAGGCGCTCGTTGGTCCGCACAGCCCCCTGCAGCTCAGCCTGCAGTTTCTCCAGTTCTGCCATCCGGCTGTTGGCCAGCTCCTGGTTTTCCTCCAACTCGGCATTCAGCATCTCAAACTAGGAGTGGAAGAGGCCGTGGGAGGCGGGCGGGCGGGCGGGCTGCCTGTCTGCCTCGCATGACCACCACCCGCTCACTCCCTGCCTGCTCTCTTGGAGCTGGAAGCCCGTTCCCCAGGGCTCCCACAGGTTGTTTGAAGAAATGCATTACGTAGGGCCAACCAGGAAAAGCCGGGCTCCACACAGAGGGGGTCCTGAAGGACCTGGGGGCTGGCTAGAATGAGGGGAACAGTACATGGCCGCACGGCACCCAGGAAACATTCAATGACCGTGCTTGAGGGCGGGGCCGGGTGAGCACTGAAATATGAACCCACCCCCCACCGCAGGGAAGCAGGAGTCCAGCTGTGAGTGCCAGCATACTTCCAGGGGCCAGCTGAGGGTCCCTACTGGTGTCTCGAGGCACTGTATGGTCTACCTGCTGCTTCCCCAACTACAAGCGAGGTGCTGCCTTGTTCTCCCTCCAACATTCCCGGCACCGGCTGGTGCTTAGGTTTACAGAACAAACAAAAGCGTGGTCTCAGGGCCTTGGCTAGAGGGTCCTTCAGTTGGACAGGGAGGACGGTGCCCCTACCTTCTGCATGCTGAGCGTGATCTGGCCGCCCTGGAAGCCCGAGGAGCTCCCAGACACGTAGTAGCCAGAGTTGAGCTGCAGAGAGAAGCACGGCAGAGAGGTGACGCTAGAGCAAGGGTCCTCACGCCCAGCCCCGGCTCCGCGGGCCCACCGCCCAGGCCCACCTGCTCCAAGGCCTCGGCCAGGTGTTTGTTGAGCTTCTGCTCTCGCTTGCGCAGCTTCTCAATGTCCCACTGCAGGTCCTCCACGGTTGTCTCCATCTCCAGCACCTTGGTCTCTGCTGAGGTCACTTTATCCTGGAGCTCTGAGTACTGGGGGCCACAAAGGGGTCAGATTCCTGGGCGGGGGACTGAGTGGCCTGAGACTCTGTGGACACATCTCACTGGAAGCCAAATCCGGCTCTGGTTCTAGTGCCCCCCCCAAGGACCCCGACCCTACCTCCAAGGAGATTCGGTGATGTTTCTCCTGCAGCTGGGTGGCTAAGTCCTGCAGTCGCCGGTTCTCCCGGCCCAGCTCCCGAGTGCGTACCTGGGCCACCTCGCTGGGGGGCTCAGTGTCCCCTGGGAAGACAGGGCGTAAATAAAAGTCAATTCCAGAACAACATGGCCAAGCGCTCACTCATCAGAGTCTGCTCCGTGTCTACTAGCCTTTTCACCAGTATCTCATGACAAAGCCAGGAGCCTCTTCTCTGCCCTGGGCCGAACAGGACACCCACTCGGAGCCAGCTGCCCAGGACACCCAGGCTAGGGTGGCAGAACTAGAACTGCTCAAGAAGCCACCAGCCCCTACAGCCTGGCCCCGGAGAACCAGCAACTGCCAACCAGATGGGTGTGTGGTGCTCCCTCCCCCCTCCCGAGGTCTCCAGACAAAAGACGTGGCAACAGCCCTCACAGCTCCTCCACCCACACCTCCAGGGGTCAATGGAACCACCTTTCCCCGGAAAACACAGGTTCCTCTGGTCTGAGGGGGCTGGGAAGAGGGAGCCATCATGGTGGAGGGTGGACAGCTGTGTGGGGAGGTCCAAGACCTCACCTCGGCTGTGGACTCGCTGGCAGAGTTCCTCCACCTGGCGCTGCAGGCGGTCTGAGGCCTCCACGGCCCGGGACACGGCCGCCTTGGCGAACTCCATCCGGCCCTGCAGCTGCAGCTCCACCTCCTCACAGCTGCTGGCGCCCAGGGCCACCACAAAGGCCAAGGCGGGCTCACTAAGAGGGGGCCGCAGCTCCATCGGCAGAGGCTCTGAGAAGGACAGGAAGGCCGCGGCATGAGGATGAGCAAGGCAGTCGCCACCGCCCCAAACCAAGTCCCCTACTGAGCCCATCACACGCCACAGGCCGCAGAACCATCGACACATCTGCTCCCTGTCGAGCCTTGCTGTCTGTCCCCACTGTCAGAGAACTAATTCCTTAAGTCAGAGCAGTCCCAATCCCCTTCCTCAGGGAAGCCTCCCCTACTTTCCCGATCTAGATCACAGTCACAAGCACTATTCTGTCTTAGGAACTCCGAAACTCCTCACTTGCTCTGAGGTCAGAAGCATTAACCACCACACCAAACTCACTGCCACTCAAGCCATGTGCACTCTCACACTGACCCCCTGTGGGTTTCCCACGGGACTGCACATGCTCCACAGGAGTAGAAAGGCCCGTCCTTTCCTGTGGAGCTGCTGGTGGTTTCGAATGTCATCCATGCGTTCAGTCCAACACGTAACCACTCATCCTTGCGACTCTGAGATCATGCGCGCGCACATGCCCAAGTGCCTGTTTCCTCGAGAGCTAGTCTACTTGTGGAAGCGAGAGGCGCCTGGTTGCAAAGGGCCGAGGCCATATTGCACTTGTCCCTCCCAAGTCTACAACATTCACAACACTCCACAGCCTATTTCCCCCCCCAAACTAAATCAGGCTCAAAAGCACATCTGGCAACAAAGCCAGCCAGATGCCAAAGTCTGCACTTTGTTTGGGGTGCGGAGGACATGCAAGAGCTTCCCAGAAACGACCTAAGCTGCCCAGACCCCCGGTTTCCGGCCCTACCCCTCAACTCGGACGTCCCTGGCTCTGTGAGGGGGGTTCCGTCATGGGTCGGCCCCTCCTGGGCTCCAGGTGCCTCTGCCCCTGAAGAAAGCTCCCCGTGGCTCTCATGACGTCGAAGGAGGACTTTCACGGTTTCATCCAGCTGAGGGGAGAGAGCAGAAGACACGTCACCGTCCGCAGGTGCTTCCCTGCACAGCGCAGAGAAGTCGGCGGGGCAGTTGCCCCATAAAGGCCAGGTCAAGGGAAGCAGAGGGGCAGCCACCTGGGCCCAGTAGCGGTTGACAATGAGGAGGGTGGCGTCGTCCGTGGCCTGCCGTTTCTCTAGCTTCTCGATCCTTTCTCGCAGCTCGTCTTCGCAGGCCTGCCGTTGTTCCAGCCGCTCTGCTAGCTTCTTGTTCTTGAACTGCAGCACCTTGAGGTCCATCTCCTCCTACCAAGGGAGAAACAAAGAGCCCCGAGAGATGGTCGAGGGCAAACCCGCCGAGAGAAGAGAAGGTCGAAAGGGCCTGCTAAAGAGGATGTCAGGCGGCTGCCACACCCACAGGGAACAGGTCTGGGCAGCGGGGAGGGTGGGCTCCTGCCTCTGGGAGTCTCTAACCCTGGGTCTGACAGCTCCAACGTCCCCGACCAGGGAAGGCAGACCGTTGGGCCCTTGATTCCCTTCCCCGGAGGATTCTGGAATGCGCATCTTGCTAAGCACGAGGTGCCACCCGTTACGGTTCTGGGCACAGAGCAGCCGGGACGGGGTCTGGCAAGCTCTGGGGCCGGGCCCTACGAACCGTGGAAGAGATGCCCCCCAGGCGGATGGGCTCGATGAGGGTGGTCGTGGTCTTCTCCTCGCGGCTGAGCTTCTTCTCTGGAGGCCCCGAGCCCCCATCGCCGGCGGCGCGTTTGTTACCGGGCCCCGACATGGCTGCGGCCGGGAGGAGCGGCGCGGGGTCCCCGCGAGGGCGGAGGCGGTCCTTGCTTCACCTGCGGAAGACAGAGCGGAGGAG